ATATATATATATATATATATATATATATACACACATGCACCCCAACTGCAAGCAACCAGAATTATAAGGAGAAAGTATGCAAATGGTAATCACCGGACAAACTTCCACATCAACCATAGGAGGCAAGAAGTACACCAAACTGAACCCAGAATTATGGGGCATTGTGTGAAACTCAAATCGTAAGAACAGGGACTTATTACAAGCAGGAAAAGAATGAGATCCACGGAACTATAAGAGCATGGAAGAAAATTATGTGCCCCCCAGTATTATGAGTAGGATGCAGAACATCTGCTCAACCATAGGAACAGGGTAGTGGTCTTACAGAACACTCCCTCTCAACAGTGTGTGTTGCACCTTAAAGGTAGCAGGTGTGGGTTGAAATAAGGCATACCTGACCATGCAACACTTGCCAATGAAGGGGATCCAAATATGTGACAAAGACACAAGTAGAGGTACTGCAAAAAGAAAAGAAAAAAAACATTACCTATACTCAAGACAGAGTTGAACCAGAGCATGAAGAATCAGTACTGGAGGAAAATAATATCCACCAGAGAAGGATATAGCCAGATGGAGAAAGTAGTGAGAGACAAACGTATGAGGAGTAGTCCACATTTCAGCCTGAACAATCTCCTCCAGAGGATGATGAAAAGGAACCACCAGAGACAAGGTGACATGTCGAAACAGATGAGAGGAAATACGATAAAGAAGACGGCCTATGGAGAAAAGGGAAGAGTAAACCAACTGAATAAGCTGGCAAACCCAACCAGTAAGGGTGATGGGGGAGGTCATGAGACACCAAATGGCTCCAAGGAAGAAATAAAGAGGAACCACAAAAGGAATGGAGAATAGTGTGAAGACAGTGATTTCCTTACAGGAAGTGTAGATCTCTGGAGGGGGAACCAAGGTTGAGCCAGAAAACTAGACATATAGGAGGAGACATAGGTGGGAAGGCATAAAATGGTAGGACCCCCCCTGTACTAGAAAAAGGTAGACCAAACCAAAGCTAGAGATTAAGAAACCGGAGACCAGAAAGATGGCAAAATCTATGCACTGAATGCCCAGAAAAGTTGTTGTTGTTTGGTGTTTTATGGCGCAAAGCAACGAGGCTATCTGCACCAAACAACCAGTAAAAACAGTGAAAGTAAATTAAAGTGTAAAAATACAGTGAGTTAAAACCAATACATGTCGATAAAATATTTATATACAATTAAAAAGACCTATAGTGTGTAAAAAATTAAAAATACAATCTAATCGGACAGTGTCACCATTACCAATGACACTGTCCAATGTCAGGGGTAAACTCTTAGAAAATATGTGTTTGAAATAATGCCACCGCTCACAATCGTAACGACAGTAAAATGTGGGCTATTGTGACTTGAGTGTCACAATGGCTTCACATCGGTGGGTCAATACCTGATAAAAGAAAATGATGAGTTAAGAAACTGTGACCAATGCATAGCCTTGCCAGGACTACTTTCTCCTTCCGATCCTTATGGATACAAGACGGCCAAAGACCAACAGTAGGCTCGATCTGGAAAAGCTTGTTATGACATTGCTCACCCCAAGTCGACTGCCAACTGGCTCGAAGCCGTGTCTTAAAGACAGGACTGCAGTCCATATATGGGACAGGCATGGCCATGACGGCACCAGAGCAGAAGGACTTAGCTGCAGTGTCAGCAAGCTCATTCCCGTGAATACCGACGTGGCCAGGGATCCAGAAAACTGGATGGAAACAGAAGATAGAGAAAAGTGGGCCAATCGGTGTTGAATATCGACGAGAACAGGGTGAGAACTAATGTTAGGCGATTCCAGGGCCAGTGGAGAGCTAAGAGAATCAGTGTAAATAGTACAATTACTGTACTGCATAGCTACATGATCCAGGGTAAGAGAAATAGCCTACAACTCGGCAGTGAACACAGAAACTGTAGAGGAGATCCTGTGAGCAACTACCAAGACTCAGCAAACTATGGTAGAACCTACAGAGTCACCCGATTTCGAACCATCCATGTAAATAGGAAGAGAAGAATGGCTCAAAAGATGCTCAGCAAGAAGAAGATGGTACTTCCAATCGGGGATATCTGCCTTCCTCAGATGACTCAGAGAAAGGTCTCGGGGAGGGATGGTAATAAGCCAAGGTGGAATGGGCTGATTATTGGGGACAGCAATGTCATCCAATGCCAGACCCAATTCAGCCAGTTGCGCCTGGATACAAAGGCCAAAGGAAGGAATAGCAGACCGTCTATTCCGAAACAGCATGGCACATTGTGGGAGAAAGACACAATCCTAGGTGGGATGCCATGGTAAGGATTGAAGCTTGGCAGCATATTGTAGAGAAAGTTGAAAACAACAGAGGTGAAGAGGAGGTTCGTGGGACTCAGTGTACAAACTCTGGATTGGAGAAGTGTGAAAAGCCCCAGTATAGAGCTGAAGCCCCAGATGGTGAATGGGGTCTAGCATCTTCAAGGCTGAGGTCCTGGCAGTACCATAGACCCATAGTCCAGTTTGGTTCGAATCAGCACACAATAGATCCTGAGCATAGAACATGGATCCGCACCCCCAAGAGGTGGAAGAGAGGACACGGAGGATGTTCAAAGCCTTTGCACACTTGACACGTAGCTGCTTGATGTGCAGAATGAAGCTAAGCTTACAGTCAAAGATAAGCCCCAAGAATTTTGCCTCAGGGACCACATGAATGACTACATTCCCGAGATGGAACTCAGGTTCGGGGTGGAGACCCCGTTGGTGGCAAAAATGCATGCAAATGATTTTGGAAAAATAAAATTTAAAACCGTTTGCAGTGGTCCAAGTCATCAACTGATTGAGGGCAGTCTGAAGCTGCCGCTCAATAAAACTCATGTTCGACGACTGAAACGAGATGTGGAAGTCATCAACATGAAGCCCATTTGCAACAGTCGGAGGAAGATTATTAGTGATAGCATTAATCTTAACATTAAAAAGTGTGACACTCAAGACAGCCCTGGGGGACTTCAAGTTCCTGTGGAAAGGATTGGGAAAGATTTGAACCCACACAGACTTGGAATCACCTGTTCAGTAAAAAAGTTTTGGGTAAAAAATGGGTAGATGGCCACGCAACCCATAGGAGTGGAGGTCCTGCAAAATTCCATACCTTCACGTGTTGTCATACGCCTCCTCGAGATCGAAGAACACAGAAACAAGGTATTTTCTCTTGAGAAAGACTTCCCTGATCGACGTTTCAAGTCAAATCAGATGGTCCATGGTGGAGCCCTGTCGACGGAACCCACACTGGGTGGGTGAGAAGAGCATGTTCGATTCGAGGAACCAAACAAGACGA